TTCTACTGTAGTGCTTGCAGTTCGGTAACCGGACCAGACCCATGGCTCATGGCTGCCATGCAGTCAGAGGGCTATAAGGCAATAAGCAAGGTAACCGACTGGGACAATACTTCATATAAAACGGAAACATGTATTACTGTATCACACTAAAAGCCCACAAGGGATTACCAGCAGATCATGTGCATAGGTGTCCAGATGAAAAATCATGCTGAAGCCCAATGTCCAGATATACTGCAGCTGTAGCACCAGGCTGTTTTTTTATCACCACCTCCCAAAGTCCATTCCTTCTAGTGATGCCCCTGCACTATATCACCAGGATCTCAGACAGGCGCCCACCCTCACGCCTAAACCCTAAACACTGTCCCCCGAAACCCTAAATCCTATCACCATAAACCATAAAAAAATCCCAAACCTTAGACCCTGCACCCTAAAACCCTGAATTCGCCCTGAAACCTACTTTTTTTAAAAGCCCTAAATGCTAAAACCCTGAACCCTTAAGATTCTAAACCCTAAAAAGCCTAAACCCTAAACCCCAAAATCCTAAAACCCAAACGTTCACCAAGGCGGAGGCAGCTCAGCGTGGCATATGATCCGTGGCTTACATGGGTGAGAGCCCAAGCTCCAAAAAGTTCCCTGCGGTTTAGGAGCTTAGGGTTTTGGGATTCGGGGTTTAGAGTTTCAGGGCTTAGAATTCAGGATTTAGGGTTTTAGGTTTAGGGTTTATGGTTTTAGGTTTAGGGTTCAGGGGTAAGGGTTTCGGGGTACAGGGCAAAAGGTTTCTGAAAATTGCGGGTGCCTGTATGGACTCCAGGGACATGTATAAGGGGATCAGTAGGGTCCTTATTCGTGATTGCATAGAGATTGTCGTTGAGAAGTACATTCTCACTGGGGATTAAAAAGGTTTAGGGCTTAAGGTTTAGGGCTTAGGCTGTAAAGCATTGGGCTAAAGGTTTAGGGCTTGTAAGGGTCTAAGGCCTAGAGCTTAAAGTTCAGTTGTTACAGCTCCTGAATCTTAGTGAGGATGCATCTAGGTAGGGGAACTTAAGTTATAACCGGGTACTTTCTCTGGAAATTACTGCTGAGGCTCTTGATGTTATTGCCGTGTTTGTTCGTCAACTCTTCTTCCACGAGGGTTTCGTAACCTAGGGAAGGCCGCATTCATTTTGAGACAAGGAAGTCTGTTCCTTAAGGGCGAAAGCCGTGCTGTTCATGCGGCACGGGGGAAGGTACGGATGGGGGTTGGGAGTTTAGAGTCTAGGGTTTGGGGTTTAGGGTTTGGAGTTTAGGTTTAAGGTTTGGGGTTTAGGGTTCGGGCTGTAGGGGTTGCTTCTCTACTCCCCACATGATTTCCATCATGTTCCCGCGGATGTTAGCCATGCATATTGTCCAGACTCCAAAACCCAAAAACCTGAGCCCCAAACCCCAAGATCCGCCTCCCAGGCCCACTCTGCAGCAGCTGAACAAGGAGAAATGCTACTGGACCATGACCAAGCGCAGAGCTCGGATGGTTTAGGGCTTCATAGGGCTTAGGGTTTCGGGTTTAGGGAAGGGGTTATAGGGTTTAGGGTTTAGGGCTTCGGGTTTGGGGTTTAAGGGGTTATAGGGTTTAGGGGTAAGGGTTTAGTGCTTAGGGTTTAGGGGTTAGGGAAGCCTTGTACTGAGTACTGCAAAATTGCAGATACTTTTACAGGGTATGTGTGAGGATTTTTTGTGGGGAGGGCCATCTGGTCCGGCATGTTGATCCCCAACCCTGGTGATCTAAGTTTTCAACCTATACACTCCCGGAAACTAACATGGAAACCCAAAAAGGTCCCTATAAACACTGGAGTCCTTCTAAAAGAGGACGATATGGGTTTCCATGTTAGTTTGGGGGAGTGTACCAACTTGGCTAGGATTAAAATCAAGAAGTCTAAGCCCCAAAGCCTAAAACAGCCGCTGAAGCAAGGTTTCGTAATGCCAGCTACATGTGTGTGACACGTGTGTAGATGGTGATCTGGGTCCCACGCTTAGAGATTTTAGGACGTGACCCCCTAAACCCTAAAGCCTAAAACCCTAGACCCCCTAAACCCTAAACCCTAAACCCCCTAAACCCTAAACCCTAAACCCTAGACCCCCCAAAACCCTAAACCTCCTAGAGAGCTTAACCATGATGTCCACGAGGGCTGCCTAAGCATCCCTTAAGGCTTAAACATTGGGTAGGTTCCTGGGATATGGAGGTTTCCCAAAATTGGGGGTACCCTTTTGGGGGTCCCCATAATAAGGGCTATAGTATTTTGGGGGTCTATAGTAACCTAAGTTTAGGAAACTACCATATTTAATATTTTCCCTAATGGCTTTCAGAAGGGACCCTATGTACTAATATTGTTCAAAGGGTTTTAGGGGCCAACCCAGAACATTGAGTACTGCGCCCAAACAAGTCGATAATGTGTATAGTATAATTATATATAGCCTCAAAATGACCCCCAGTATAGGTTAATATCGACTGTTACAAGGTGGGGGCAGTACCCAACCTAAACACCTGCAGGAGTCTTACAGGAATGGTTTCGGAGGCTGTACGGATGACCCATAGCTCAGGATTCCCTAAGGCCTCTCAAAGGCTCCCTCGGGTCTCCTAGTATGGGCCCCCTTTCCTGGAGTTCCCCTAGGTGTCACTCTTCTGTCATGCTATTTGTCATGCGGACGTTTCTGTAGACTTGGCCTGGCAACCCAATACTTCTTATCACGACTTCTGACAGGGAAAGGGCAGCTTGAGACCTTGTAGGCAGTATGTGTTTCTGGGACTGTGGAATTTTCTCAAGAATGATGGGGATACCTTACAAGGGATCTCTGCCCTGCTCTTTGTAATCCCAAAAGCCCTAGGCTGAGAAACCCCAGAATTCCCAGATCCTCAGCCCTTGACCTTAAGGTTCAATACAACCGTTTTTAAAGGCCCTAAACCCTAGATCTTAAATCCTAAGCCGTAAACCCCAATTCCTAAACCCTAAACCCTAAATTCCTAAACCCCAAATCCTAAACCCTAAACCCGAAATCCTAAAATCCTAAACCCTAAAACCAAAGCCCTGCATGACATGTTCACGCTGATGCCGCCCGCAGCAAGGCATGGGGGCCGATACTGGCTCATCTCTATCGAGCTTGTGAAGAAGACGCCGGGCAAGTGGGGGTCCTTGCTTGGTTTACTTGGCTTAGGGTTTGGGGTTTATATAGCACATATAGGACTTATGAGGTGTATAGGGTTTATAGGGTTTAGAATTTAGGGTTGGGGGTTTAGATAGGGTTTACTTACTAGGGGTTAGTAGGGAATAAGGGAATATAATCCCCATATAACCCCTATGTATTCCCGTATTCCCTACTAGCCACCAGCAAGTTTATAGGATTTCTAGGGTTTAGGGTCTGAAGGGTCTAGAAGATTCTACAAGCTGAGCACGTGGGCTGCCGGCGGTGCAGTGGTTCGAGGATTTCTGAAGCTGGAGATACCCCAAACCATCCATCCCCTGTTCAGTAGAAAGATTCCAAGGGTGGTTTGGGGTTTAGGCTTTAGAGTTTAGGCTGGGCAAAGCACTGTATCGTTTAACGCGCGCTGAAGGTTCTAAGAGTCAAGAGCCTCTTAAACTTGTACCTGTCGCAATACGGAAACAACCGTTTCCGCTAGACTTTGCACAGCTGCACAGCAGTATTGATGTAAGGCTCGGATGTCTGCGAGTTGGGTCTCTCGTTGTGTCCTCATAGTCAAGACCTTGTTATTTTGAGTCAGAATCTAAACCCTAAATCCTATATTCTGTCACCGAGAGGGGCTCTTTGAGGGCACAGCCATACTGTGTGGTGAATGGGGGTGTGAGGCAGGCAGGATTCAAGTAGAGGGGACTCGAAGGTTCGCACCTCTTTCCCACCCCAAACGACCTTCCATCAGCCACAGCAGACTGTTTACTGTAGAAGCCTGAAGAGCTGCATTAGCCCACCATAGACATTACATAAGTAGAGTGATATACCTCAAAGCCCTGCTCCTACTTAAGCAGCCCTTACATTATGACGTTCGCATTTGACCCTGCAACTGCATTTTCATTTGTGAAGGCATGGTCTGAGCAGTCACAGTGCACTTGCGATGTAGGTTTGAGATGTTTGATGGTAAAGTTTGGGTACTGCTCGCACTCTGTAACAATTGGAGAGTATTTATAATGCAGTCACATCTATGGCCCGTAATATGACCTCTGTTATAGACTGTTACAGGGCCGGGGCTGTACTCCAGGTAAAGTTTTTGCCATGAAGTTCACAGGATATCAGAGCAAGCCATCTAAAGCCTACGACCGCTTTGCTTGGACTTTGCAAGACACTGGGTTTGGGTTTAGGGTGTAGGGTTTGGTAAAAGAGCGGGTGATATCACAAGCCGAATATTCGGCATGAGATACCCCTATGAAGCAAGGAATAGAACCTAATCTTAAACTTACTGTTTGTTAGTTGGGAATATGGGATAATATAGTGCGCATTTAGTATATCCCCCTTTTCCCTACTGCCAACCAGTAAGCAAAGCCCTAGACCCGACTAAACCACGTCCCAGAATCCTTCGATCGTTTGATATATGGTTTAGTTTTATTGTTGTTGAAGGAAGGCCCTGGGATGAGGTACCATACAACTATACAAGTTAGGTTTAGGGCAAATGAGTCTTAATTTATCACCGCAAAGCATGTCAGGAATCCTAGTTATGTTGAGGTTCTTCGGCTCTCTGGGACTTAGCTTCAAAACTGTCAGAATGTAGTTTTGTTATTCCATTTGGTCGAAAGTTCGCTGTATGACGACCACCTTTACAATTCACTATCCAACATCACAAGACCCTCCTGACAATCAACATGACATGATGTAGAATATGCGTAGGGCCCAACCATACCTTGTAGAAACCAGTAACGCTGCAAGGAAGCCATTTCCTTTTTTGTTCAGAAGCCCTACTGGAAAAGACCTTTTCAAGCTGCGCCACATCAGCGTAAACTCCGAGGCTGTGGAGCAGGCTCATGCGTGATGAGCGCGAAGCCAATCGGCCCAACATGAAGTGGGACAAGGTGCATGCACATTGCAAGTTCGTACCCTACCTCTTACACCGTACGCATAACCCCAACTAGCTAGAGCTTAAACACTATACCCAGAAGAATCGGAGCTTCGCATTTAGGGCGTGGGTCTGAGAAATGAGGGGATGAGGGTCTACAATTTCTGGGTAAATGCTAAACCCTAAACCCTAACCCCTCAACCCCCGCGGTGTCAATCAGTCCCAGGGGTCGCCATCGGGTTCAGGGTTTAGGCTTCGGTTTTTAAGGTTCAGGGTTCAGGGTAAGGGTTCAGGATATTCCGCCTAACTCCCCTTTCAACCATACTTGAGATGATAATCCTTGTATCCTAAAGCCGCGGGCCTCATTCCCTAAGTTTTCGCCCTCCATTGAGTCCTTTAGATGATATATACTCTATATTCTAACCCCAATATACTAACCCCAATATACTATAGTAGTTTCCATTTTCTTTTCCATTATCCCTATATATTCCCAATATAAACCCTATAGAACACTAGAAAACTTTGAATAATACAGTAGTTTCCACGTTCTTTTCCATTATCCCTATATAACCCCAATATAAACCCTATAAAACCCTAGAAAACTTTAAAGAATATAATAGTTTCCATTTTCTTTTCCATTATCCCGATATACCCCTACGCTGAAGATGAAGAAGGAGTGGCTCGTAATCGCTTTGCTCCAGCTATGGCGGAGCTTCTTCGAATTTCTCCTAAGCTGGGTTGGCCTTTGGGATACTTAGATATTTTCCCTAATTGGTTTCATAAGGACCCCATATACTCATATTTTTCAAAGGGTTCCAAAGGCCAACCAATTAAAGAACCTAGGAGAAAATCCCCTTATGTTGTTTTGAGAACACCCATGAATTGCAGGACATGCAGAAGACACCAATGATCATGGACAAGACCGGGAAGTTCACGCCCCGTTCTCATCAAAACAGGTCGCAGAAGATTTGGACGACATAAGTTGTAGCTCTTGAACTTGCGGGTTTTGAGTTGTTTTTGTCTACCCAAGAACTTACAAGACCCAAGGGTCTTAGAAGTCGCTGTAAGACTTTCATCCCTCTCCAGGCATGCTGGGTATCTGTGGCAGGACAAAGTCACTGATACCCGTGCTATGGCAGACCCACGCGGCATAGAGATGGTTTTGGGGTTTAGGGTTTAGGGTGTAGGCTTGCAACAAGGATCCTGTGACTTTGCGGCGACTAGGTTCAGGGACCTGGATAGTCGAGCTAGGTTTGTGTGCCTGTGAATGACATCCGGCCTGTTGATTTCATGTGCTCTTCATGCTGGCATGGTTTCTAGCCATCAACTCCGTACTGGACACCCCAACCGTCAACAATCATCGAATCCATGCATATCTGTGTCATGCTCGGGAACCTTTTGCAAGGCCACAGGTGGTTCCATGTTGTGCAGACGTGAGATGACGGGATCTGCAGTAGGGAGCAGGATTCTCCTTTGGACTTCTTAACATCCATACTGAAGCTGCCATAACAGTGGCAAAGGCCATAACAGTAACAAAGGAGCCCAACAGACCGAAGTCCTCCCCCTTCCCAGGTCCGGCTGATTGATTGACTTACGGCCTGACCCACTCGTATGGAATACACAGTCTTGGTCGTGTTTAGAGGGCGTCTGAGTAGCAGCGCAGTGGTTTCAGGCGTAGGCTCTTTCTCAATCACCAAATTCACGGAGTGCTGCCCAGGCCATCAACTTACTGCGACCCAACGATCAAGCCCAAGTATGAGACTGAAGAGGCGTGCAGTGAGCGGCACGCATCCTGACATGTTCATGGTGTAGGCTAGGAATACCAATTTCAATACGTTCCACGTTCGCTGCCTTAAGATTCTTGTGAATGGATTGCGTGCTTGTCTTGGAAAGGGTATTATGGCCCTGAAAACATCCCCTAGCCCTGAACCCAGCTTACCTGGAGGCAGATCTTGATGATGTTCTCATCGAGGAGCTCGAAATGCTCGAGGCTCCGGCAGAGTCTGCCTGAGCAGTCTTTGTAATCAACGTCACGGAGTAGGGGAAGCGTTTAAGTTGGTTGCATTGGGCCTCTCTCACACAGCTAGATCATCTTGTGGCATTCTGAAGGGCCCTGGGCTTGCGCTCACTGTGAAGACAACCCATCAAGGCAGGCCCTGCCCCCCTTCCCTACTAGCCTGCGAGAATGCCAGGGAGGAGTAGCCTTAAGTTTGTCGTTGCAAGGAGTCTTGGGAGTAGCTCTCGTCTGAGACCGTGCTAGACCTCATGTGTTTATAATAAATATGTACATATATATATATAGTATATATATATATGTACATACGTGTAATGTGTAGTGTGTAGTGTATCAAGGATTATGGCCTGTGGCTCATTCTCCTCTCTCCCCACCCCACAGGGGCTAATTCCCAGAGCCAGCAGGAGCAAGAGAAGGGGAATCATGCTCCGGCAATGCCAAGACATAATAAGGATTATAGTATATTAGGTCTATATTAGGGTCCCGTTATTTTTGGAAACTACCAAGTCTTTTCCACAGCATCAAGGTTCATAGAGCAGACTCCCGAATCTTGACATGGCGTCAGAAAATAGACGTCAACGCGCAACTTTGAACACAAAAGAGACACCATCAGAATATTAGTTAAATTACCATTGCTATTATCACTATTATCACTATTATGACTGTTATCATTATCTTTATTTCTAGTCTTACTACTATTATTGTTATTGTTGCTCGTATGACTGTTATTACCTGGCTGGAGCAGGACGCTCCGAAGGAGGCGAAGAAGTGGAAGATGCAGGACAATTGGGGGCTTGGGCGGTGTGAGGGATCTTTTGGCAAGCTGCGGGTGCTTTGGGAGATGTAAATGTGAGAGGTATTGTTTGGGTGGATCCCCCACCCTGTATGGTGACTACGCGGTAGAATATGGACTATATTCGGGTCCTCTTATATTCCTTTTAGTCCTCCTGAGGTATTGTTGTTGTTTTTGTCTGCCGTTCTGTCAGGTTTCTTCCGCCAGCTACAGCCCCAAACCCTAAACCCTAAACCCTAATAAAGCTTTGCCACCCTTTCATCCTTGGGCGCCAAGTTAAGTAAGGGTTTAGGGTTTAGGGCTGACCAAGCCCCAAGGCAGTAGCTCAGCGCCCCGAGCTCTAGGCCCTGATACCAACTTTCCGGCTCCAACTGGCCCAATGTGGGTACCTGAACGCAAAATATGTAGAACAGTGTCTTTTTTTGGCTATAGTTAAGGGTTTAGGGCAATGATGCTTACCTACTCTGAGGGTCCAGTATTAGTTATAGTTTTTGGGGACCAATGGAAGCATATCCATCTGTATCGATTTGGAGCTCCAGGGCTACAAGATCAAGAGCTATAGGGATTATAAGGATTATGTAGGGGGTTATATGGGGTTACGTAGGGATTAAACCCTAACCGCTACCTAAACCCTAAACCCTAAACTATATATAGAGGTTATATAGGGATAATCACTGCAGGACCTCTGCGACTTGCGCTTTGGCATGGAGGAGTCCACGCTGCCACAATCTCAGGGAGGAGTATAGGCCCCCTTTAAGTAGATAGAATATTAGGGTTTAGGATTTAGGGTTTAGGAGTATAGTCCCCCTTAAGTAGATAGAATATTTCGGTTATTTTGGGATAATGGAAACATGGAAACAACGATCTAGAGTTTAGGGTTTAGTGTTTTGTAGATAGAATATTGGGGTTATATTGGGATAATGCAAAAGAAAATGGAAACCACTCTCAGGGGTTTAGGGTTTAGGGTTTTGTAGATAGAATATTAGGGTTATACTGAGATAATGGAAAAGAAAATGGAAACTACTATTTAGTGCCTAGGGTTTAGGAGTATAGTGTCCCTTTACGTAGATAGAATATTGGGGTTACCTTGGGATACTGGAAAAGAAAATGGAAATTACTATTCAGGGTTTAGGGTTTAGGAGTAGAGTCCCCCTTAAGTAGATAGATTATGGCTGTGGGTATATTATAACAAGATCCCCATATACCCCATATTTAATCCTAAAACCTAGACCCATATTCTATCTACTTGAGAGGGACTATGGCCAGCGGACTCGTCACTATCACTTGTAGGGGCCCGGTGCTCCTTTCATGGGTTTAGAGTTTAGGGTTTAGGTTCATGAACAGCCATTATGAATATGTAGTGTAGTATCTTACAAGCATGGATGCCTTAATACTTGCTTGTCCGAAAAAGCTTTGAATAGACTGTCCATTCAGCTGGGGTTCACAACCTGCCTTCAAGCCGCCTTTCTAGCCTGGGCTGCTGTTGGGGAACTTAAGAGAAGTCACGATGATGAGGAACCATGTTACTGACCACACATACGCACCGTGATCGTCTAGCTCCAAGTTCCATAAAATCATCACAGTAGACTGTAGATCTGAAACATCTGACTCCCATCCGGTCCTAGCCCAAGAGCCCAAGGCCTGAGGGACTCTGAGGCGTATATGTGCTATAGTCCAAACTTCGTAAAGGGGTTTCAAATTCAAATTATCTAGGAGAGTATTTTAGGGGTTAGTAAGGGGGATACTTTGGGTTTACACTATGGCCCAGATGGAGACCTTCAGGGGCTTATGGTAGTCCCTGGTGAGGATTGTGTAGGTTTATTCTGAGAAACACCCACGAATCTTGACCAAGCTATGTACTCAGGTCTATGCTGGTTCAAGTCCCTCTTGAACCTTCAGTCTGGAGGGAAATGCAGCAACATCCTCAGTGGGCATGTAGGCCAGGGGGAGCATGGCTATTCCTAGTCCGTGGATTCTTGAGGAGCTATACATTTTTTTTCTTCGAAGTGGCTCAGGGGAAGAGACTTGAACAGCTACTGTACATAGCGTTTCAAAGTTTTCAAAGAAAGGAGCCCTTGCTTTCAGTTTGTGCTTTTGGGTTTAGGGTTTACGGTCCTAAACCCTAAGCCCTGAAACCTAAACCCAAAACCCAGAAGTTTGTGATCATACCTTGGAGCGCAGCGCTGGCTTTCAAGTCTGTGTGTTCGTCATGTGGTCTATGGCACGGCCTTAGACAAGGGCCCCTCATCCAATTTAGGATTTAGGGTTTAGGGTATTTCGCTTTGGAAAGGCACGTGAGGAGCAAAAATAAGTTGCAGCCATGAGCAGAAGGCACAGTGGCATTGCTCTGTAGGATTGCCAAACTGCTGTGCAACGCACGCCTAGCCCCTGCTCAGAACTGTTAGACAAGAGCAGTTGAAACTCCAACCAGTTCTCCAAAAGGTCATCAGACAACACACAGGTTTGTAAAATCTTGAGTAACCCTTGCTTTAGATATGTCCCCCTGGGGCTTCAAGTATACAAATAATACCTATATGGGCCCCAAAGTCTGCAAATATTACCCTACATTAGGCTATTTGAAACCCTGAATCCTAAACCCTTAGCCCTAAACCCTGAAAACTAAGGTGGTCTAAGTCAGTCCATAACTTGTACTTTCCTTGGGCCCTCAAGTGCACAAACAGTACCGGATTCGGGTTTTTGGGATCCGCAGTGTATTGCGTTTTCATGGACAAGCCTGAATGTTTGAGAAGCCCACATATCCAGCTGGTCCTGAGGCGCGAGGAAGGCAGTTCAGAGATGTTTGCGCTGGACATTCCCTTTGGAGGCCAACAAGCAATGACCTCAGATGGATGTGTCTACGTACATGGCAATTTCGTCCGAATATTGACAGCGGTTCCGTGGTGGCGTTCATGACCGCAACCGCATTGAAGGGGCCCATAAGGACCCGGTAGCCATTACCTACCTATGAGACGACTGAGTTGGTGGGCCATAGTTGCACCAAAGCAGTTTAAGGCTTTTGGGAAAGGGGGAAAGGGAAAATGACACTGAGACCGGGAGCATCTGCAGGTTGGAAAACCAACATATTCCTCAAGCCACCAGTCTCGTGGAGACTCATAAAGCCTGGGGGAGAAGTCGTTTCGCCCAGGATTTTGGCACTAAAAAGTAGTTTTTTGCTTACCAGGCCTCAGTCCCTAGATGCTCTGCCCTAAAGTTCAAAACCTATGCTAACAGAGGACCTTTTTAAGAAGCTTGCCTGCTGAGGTCAAATTTTGGCTGAAAACCGACCCAGAATCTCCCATTCTGCCAGAGGCTCAGCTTCATCTGTTTGTTTTCCTGGGACAAAAGGGACCCTAGCGGCAACCCTAAACCCAAACCCGCCCAAACCCAAACCCTAAACCCTATATAAACCCTTTAGCTCTGCTGGGTCTTCTTTGGCAAGTTAAGGATGCAGCCAGGTTTTCACAGTGACCCAGTGTTCTCACGGAACGTGTTGTTGCTATGAGTGTAAGAGCATCGAGCAGCATCAAACAATCAGGAAGTAAGTTAGTTTGTGTGTAGGACTGCTGCGCACCCAGAGGAAGGGCCTAAAGCCTTCAGCGTGTGAGATTCAGGCTTCGCGGTTCACAGCCTTGCGGCCCAGTTTGCGAAGTGCAGGACTTGTCAACAACTCAAACCAAGCTAGTTCATTCATGTGAGCGTCCTCCCAGGATTCAGACACATCGCTTGGTTTTCTTCCCCTCCTGAAGCAGAGCCCGCAGGGACTTCGATACACAAATCAAACAGCCTAAATGCAACCAGCAGCCCAAAATGTTTTCTTATCCCAAGGCAAGGTAAGCTTGGCGGCTGCGTTTGGAGAAGAGGCTGCAGGCAGCCACTCATGTATTTTTGTTCTGCCGGTGTGTGTTTTTGTTGTCGTCATGTTTGTTGGTCGCGCCTTTCTTAGGGTTGGGCAACTGATTAAAATGGCAATTGCCATGCTTTGCTTGAGGTCAATGTTGGCTATTCCTCTGGACAGGTATCCATATCCTTTGTCAGCGAGAACGCTTCCAGAATGCGATGTGTGTTTTTGCCGTGCCGTGCATCAAGTTGCATTGAAAGTACTCCTTGGGACTTAGCTTGGACCTTAGACCCTTAACCCTTTGGGATCCCCTTGTATTCCTATTATAGTTACCTAGGGGTTAACCCTTGGTGTGGGTCCTAAGGGCCACGAACCCAAGCCAAAGCCATGCAGATGGTGCTGACACATCCCAGCATTTATTGTCTGCAAATGGTGTTATACTGAGTTCTTCAGCCGGACTCTGTAGAGCGTTCTATTCGAAGCATAGCCAGATATACAGAAGCTTTAATGCAGCTCAGATTCATGGAGTGATGATGTTGGTCGGAGAGACAGTCGCAGATGCACTCTGCAGGGGGTGTTGTGTATGGCACTCAACTCCTGGTGAAGAGAAGCAGGGCACTCCCGTGTGAACTTGTTTAATGAAAGCCTTCGTAAGAAAGCGTACTAACACCCTCTGTTGGTGTGAAGCTTGCGTTGGCAGCAGTCATGTGGTGAATGGGATCCTCCACCGCCTTACACACCCTCTACCCTAGCCCTAGGATTTCCAGTATATATGCAATCCGAGGATGGTGCAGGATTTCTCATTTGCGGGGCAATGATGTTCTTATACTGCCAGGTGGCATGTCGAGTTCCGCCCTCAGAGTTCCCATGTCAGTATGACCGGTTTCCGTGAACACTCGAACGGTTCGGGCTTTGGAAGCAACACTTACCCTAAGGGTCCAAGGACCCAAATAATGAGGCTTTAGGGCCCAAATCTCATTAATATCAAAGTATTGAGCCCTAAAACCCTGTTATTTGGGTCCTTGGACCCTTAGGGTTATCCACACAGGTCATGTCGGGCGGAGGGGGGAGCAAGGGATGGGGCGGTGTTGGCCTTGGTATCATGAAGGTGGTGCTAACGGTTTAGCATCCAGGCGTTGTTGCCTCGAAGTGCCTAGAGCTTAGAGGATAGGTTCGGCGCAGGGTCAACATGCTTGTTTCTGGAGGGCTTGTAGTTCTTCGCATAAAGAACTACTCCAAAGCTATGGGCCCTACCATTTTCGTAATTGGAACATGCCAGCTAACTGTTTCAGATGTGTGGCTGAAGGCCAAACCCAGGATCATAAGCACGGGGCTGGGAACCAAACGTCGATAAGCTCGCAACAGTACACCTAGCCTGCCCTAAGCCTGCAGCCTGAGAGGTATATGGGTGGTTGTCAAAATTATGGTCCCTTTTTGGGTACCCTAAATATTAGGGGCCGTATTATAACAGGGACCCAAAAAGGGACCATAATTTTGACAACCACCTATATCATGCCACATCTGAGCAGCCCAAAATGACACTTTTACGCGTCTTAGAACCCTCGGTTGCCGGTAGAGCCAGCTTCTGAGGCAGAAGAGAGGTCGTCCCCTGCTCGAGCTCTACATGCCAAAGCAGACGCGCGGAAACCTAGCCAAGAAGCTAGGCCCAGCAGCAATCTTCTCCTTGCCTCATGGCCACATCCAAGGAACTGCCTGTGGCGTCCATAACAGATAGCGCACTGGGAGCAGTGGTTTGGGAAGAGCATTCGTAGTGTTCGAGAGACGATGATTCCTTATCATTTCTTCATGAATGCTTCGGCATGTTAAGCTTGCAGTCGTCATTCCTCATCTCCGAGAAGGGTTTGCAATCGGCACCGCAAATACAGCCCATGGATTGTGCAGAGCTTGAACTTCACGAAGGTTTGCGGTCATATGCTTTTGAGTTCCACGGCCTGGCTCTTGCAGAGATTGAGGTACTAACTATGAATTTAAGGATGCCGGCCACAGGTCTGCAATTGGCTCAATGCTTGATATAGTTTCAAGTTTTGTAACACCATATTGGCCAGGAAGGATCAATAAGGAACACATGTGATATATATATATATATGTATATATCTGTGTGTTGCGTAGCGTTACTTCTTCTTCAGAACCAATGAACTCCCTAGCCCGAAGCCTCATCCTGACCGCTACTCCATCGGCCTGAAACCCGGGAACCCTGCAAGGACACACCCCAACGAGACAGCCAGACCCTTAAACCAGGGATGCCTGAGGAGTCTGGGGTTATATAATAGTAATATAGGGATCCAAGTATACAAATACCGACATTGGGACCTAAAGTCTGTAAATATGACCTACATTGGGCTATCTGGACTCGCAGGTGGATCCGTTCCGCACACTCATACTTGATAGAGCCTAGACCCTGTCGCTGCAGAGCGCACAGGCATAGAATTTCGGGCTGCAGTTGCCCGCTTGCAATGGCAGCGCGACGACTCATTTCAGTCTTGCCTTGCTGCTTGCTATGCATCTGCCTGCTCCACTGCATCTCATACACTCGGAATTTTGCGAAGCCTTTCTGGAGTAACATGAAAGCAAAATTCAGTCCGGAACGCAATTCCGCTCGTGATGTACCACTTGAGATTGGAGCAGAGGACGAGTGGTTGGAGGGGCTGTCAAAGGAGGACAGGAAGCTGATCTCAAGCATTGCAGAAGCGGGGAACAACAGGGAATGGTTCGCTGTTCGACGAGCCTGGCATGCCTCCAGTAAGAGTGCTGTACCATTGTTTAACACAGCAATGGCAGCAGCTTTGAAATGCGGGCAGTTCAAAGAGGGCCTGAACATTTTTGACAAGCTGAGTGTCTCGTCAGTGCGCAAGACATTGAAGAGCTATTGTTGTGCAATTCGTTTGTGCGGCGAGCGATTGCAGAACCGCACTTGGGACTTGTGGATGGAAGCGCAGCAAGACCAATTGTGGGAGAGCAATGAAAGCGCATGCTCCCTCATGTGTGCGGCCTTATACTCAGCATCGAAGGCAGGTAACGTCACCTTTGCGGCAACTTTGCTGGATTCAATGAGGAGAAGAGGAAAGGTCCTGAATCGGATTGATTGGCATCAAGGAATCGATGCTTGCAGAATAGCAGGTGAGGCAAAAGCGCCACTGTATTTGTTCGAGCAGATGATGGCAACGGGCATTGAACCAAATGTAATTTCCTTCTCTCTTTTAGCAGGCGCGAGCGGGAAAAATCTGACACAGATATCTGAAGTGAACAAGTGGTTTGAGGAGTCAAATGTGGAGACAGATCCCAGCTTTTTCGAACAGCTTGTCCGCGCCATTTTGGGAGCTGGGCGCCTGAAGGTGGATAGGTTCATTTTCGAGAAGGATGCCAGGGCCATCGCTGTTGGCGCATCGCCGCGCAGAAAGCTAGCAGCTTGGCGGGTGATCCAACAAGCTAAATCAAAAGAAATCCAGCTGGGCGTTCTGCTGCAAGCGTTTGAGGCAGCATTGCTGAAGGATCCGGACTTGCAGACTGCAGCTGAGTGGTCCGACCCAACTTGAGTCAAACGCGCTCACTTGAACTCCCCCCCTGGCACCGGAGGAGGCTAAGTAGCAGGTAAGTCCGTTGCAAATCCCTCATGTCTGCAAAGTGCAGTCTTGGCGAGTTCATGTGACTGCGTCGGAAATCCGCTGCCGCATGCAATTCGCACGTACAACAGGAACATGCGACTTCTCAGAATTGGCGGGGTGCCAGCAAGTAGTGCGTGTCAAGAAGCAGCGCGATGCTTGCACTGTACAAGGTTTGTAAGAATTAAACGCCGTAATCTGCAACATCTTGCAGTAGCCCAAGGCTATTGGCTAGTGGTGAAGAATCGGCGTTTGCACCATAAGGGTTTAGGGCTTAGGGTTTGTTTGTGGTTAAGTATGCACTGCGAAATCATCATTTTGGCGAGTCATGAGCAAATCCTGCCGATGATAGAGGCAAGGTACGTGCGGCACATTAATTCCAGATGAGGAGAAACAAGTTGTGAAGCTGTAGCCAGGTAATATCCTATGGTCACGTGCAACTTGGACTTAGAATTACCATCATGAATACCACGTCGTGCTTCATAATATACGGCCCTAGCACGGATATGCAAGAGACGGAGGGAAGTTCCAAATCGCTGAAGTTCTTGAAGCTTGGCAGGTGGATATCACAAGACGTTCTGGTAAGAACAACGCAGTATTAACCCCTCCTAACATTTAACCTCATATAGGCCGCTTCTGCAAAGGGAGTAGTCATTAAGGGTCGCTTTTCAGGTTCCATGCTAGTTTCGTGCAGTACTTCGTTGCCTGCAGCGCTTAAAAGTCACCCTGAGTCAGCAAAGACCAAAGGGCTGATTCCTTTTCGTCACCACCCTAAAGCCTAAACATTAGACCCTGAACCAGGTCTTCAGATCCCAGACGCAAGCCTCAAGCTAGAACCTGAAAATGAACATGTGCCAAGTCAGGGTCTCCAACAAACCTCTGAGCTACGGACAAAATTTAGGTTGGGGTCACCTATATGGGGAATACACAGGGTTTTAGGGGGGACTATTAGGGGATATACTACACATTTAGTCCAGAGCTCATCTAGCACAAACAACAAGATCCCTGGTGCGTGCGCAGATCCAACAGCGTAGCTTGCGAGCT